GCAGGCATGAACCGTGACCCCCAACCCCCTTGCTCAGTAGTAATGAGCTACTGTGCAATAGGGTTAGAAACAACCTGTGCACCCCTGGGACTGCATAGTAATGGTGGTTACTGCACAGTTGGGGGCATGTGTAGATGTGCCCGCTATGAATTACATTTATAGTCCAAACCAAAAGGTGCATGATTTACCATATATTTCATTAGGCTGGGCCCCAGCAGAGCCAACAACATTTCAAGCCATCATGACCCTACAGCTCAGTGTTGCTTGGTATGTATCTGTTCTCCAGATACCCCACAAAGGATCCACATGCTAATTAGCTTCTCACTCATGACTGGAGCCAGGTGTTCTTATTACAAATCCTGGGATCCTCCAAAAATGTATACGCAGGTGAGGTGCAGGGCAATCTGGTCTGGCTCCACTTTATGGAGGGCAGAGCCACACTAGTCCTATGTAGCATGCTGAGAGAGGGGGCAGCAGAGGGATTCTGGGTCAACTGTTTGGGGGCCTGTTTGGTGATATTTGCCAGAAAGTGAAGGCTGGTGAAGAAACAGGACTCATCGGAAAAGGGAAAGAAATGTGCAATTCAGCTGTGGGGATGAAGAGGAAGTAGAAATGTATATAATGAAGCGGCTCACCATGACATAAAAAGAGTCAGCACCAAGGGGTTGTGTGCAATGTGCATTAGCATATATCTTATTCAGATTGGCTGCACAAACCTAGCCTTGTGATGTTTGTTCAATATGGGCCATGTTTTTTTTATAGCCATGGTTAGTGTTGGCTGTACTTGAACAACTTTAGATTTGGTTTCCATTACTGAGTAAATGCTGCTTTTGCAGCAGTTTAATGCTAGGTGAGGTATTGAATGAGATTTTGTTGTATGTGACTAGAAGGTAAGGGGTTCTCCACTCCTCACCCCTGTGCTGATTGATGGAAAAAAGCTGGTCTTATATTCAAGTAAATATGATATTTGAGTTAAAGGCATATAATGTAGTAAAAAGAGTTTTTTAAATAGGTGCAATGGATTCCTTTTATATTTACTGATTTTAGGCTCTGAAACCTCAGTACCAGATTCTGCTTTTCCTATTAGATGCCTAAGTATGATTCTGTTCTACCGTGATGAAGCCCTTGAAAAACCCTTACCAACAAAAATGGCCTGGTCCTTCTGTTCTTGTTGCTATTTGTGATGCAATGTTAAAGCTCAGATGCTGGCATATTAGAAAAGTGGTTATGCTGGCATGTTTTCAGGGACTTCAGCAGAATGGAAGAGGGTCACATTTAGGCACCTACTAGGTGAAACAGGATCTTGCCCTCGGACATTGCTGAAATGGTAGATTAAAACCACAAATATTTCTGCAAGCAAATAAATATCTACCACTAGATTACTCTTTTATTGTCAAGATGGCACTAAAATTAAATCATATGCCTGGTGTAACAAAAATTGAAGAAATGGTATCCATTTTTAAATCCTGCTTCCAATATTCTTACTTAAACTCTTTCTAAAACATCAGGGGATGGACACAAACACCCAGAAGTAAGTAAAGACCCTGGGACCTGTATAAAAACTTAGCAAGGGTAAACAGTAACAGAAGCTTTAGCGGTGTTCTCCTGCAGAGGATAGGACAGTCAGTTAAATACCTAAAGTGTTTATATACTTTAGGTATTTAACTGAGAAACAAAGGGAACAAACGGAAAAATTGGGATTCCTAGTCGAAGCATAGAATTATTGGGTAATTAGGATTACAGAGACATGGTGGGAAAGGTCACATGACTGGAGTAGAGTCATGGATGCATACAGCTTGTTTAGAAAAAATAGGCAGAAGAAAAAAAGAGGCAGATCCAGAAGTGTATACATTGCTGCAATTGCACCCCATTTTAACTTCTGGTCCACCTAGCATTTAAATCAGTTGCCTGGCAGTGGCAGAAGCATTTTCAGTTAGGCAGCAGTGACAGAGTTGAATGATTTCATGGCTGATTATAATTTATATTTTAAATGCTTCATTTCACAGGTGTTAATGACCCTTTCTCCTTTTTAATAGTTTTTATATTCTACTAATCAAGCTATCCTTTCTTCTGCAATTCTGCTGACTGTTAGCTGCTATTTCACAACACTGCAGATTGTTTTTAGCTGTAGCAAAAACATTAGCTCAGGTGTGGAAATCTTAACTCAGGTAATTGTTAACGGGTATGGAAATAACTTTCAGTAAAGCACTGGATGTATTGTCAAGGTGCCCAAGAAAGCTAGATTTTCTTTTATGAATCTGAAAAAGAGATGCACTTTTATTTCCAGTGGCTACAGGTCTACTGAAACAATAATGCCTAGTTTATATAGTTTATGTAATATATAGCAAATTAATGACATTTCAATAAAGTTATATTTTGTTTTGCTATTGATCTTAAACTGAAAAGTATATAACTTTAGGCCTCTAGCATATTAGTAAAGCTTCTAGTTTCTTTTTGAAATGGAGAAAAATGTGTTATATGCACCACACCATCTGCACCCCTCTTCAAAATCCTAGATCCCCCAGTGCATGGGGTTACAGTAGTAGACCGTACGCTGAATAAACCAACAGCATGTTCTTTTTGCAAAAAAACCCAACAGCTTATTGGTTTGTAATAACAGGAGTGTTACTTGCAAATGCAGGGAAGTGATTCTTTTAGAGATGACCAAAATTCACACAACTAAACAGTTTTTGACTTTTATTAATTGCCTGTACTTTATTGCTATTTTTAGAGGAATTAGGAAGAATACCTAACTGTATGAAAAGTATTCCATGAATCCTTGAAAGACAATGTGCTTTTGAGTTCGTTCCTAGGATTTTTAATTCAATTTTAATTTAAACATTCATTAATTCGGTTTCTTGTAAAAATGTCACAAGGTTGGTTTGGGCCACTGCTGCATCTATTTTGGTTTCAGCAGACTTGCAACACAAATACATTTGACCACAGATCTTTTACTTATCCTGTTGCACGGTATGAATTGATGCAAAGTTGGCATAGGGCTTGCAGGCAGAAGAGGAAAGAATCTTAAAAATATTAAGAATGTTAAAGTTGAAAAAAGAACATCATTCTTAAATGCAGAGAGTGGGCACTCAGTGTACAGTTCATTTTGCCACAGAATTATTTTAGCAGGCTTTGGAGTATGAAGAGAATTGAATAGGTCTGGATGGGCTGTAATGTTACAGCCCACTTGCTTTTCCTACACTTAAATTCCAAGTGCTTGCTACAAAGGGTGGATGCCAAAAGAAGAAAATTGTTTCCTATTGTTTCTCAATGGACCTCGCTTGCCAACACCTTCTGTCCAGAGAAACAAAGATAGCATTCCATTCGCACTGAATGAAAACAGAAACCTGTAGCAAGAAAAATAGCCAAAATTTTGGTTGTCATTTCCAAAAGTTTAAAAGGTTGTTCCAGGTGTATCAATATACAATATTAATTACTTTGGTTTGATTCAAAGAGCATTTAAAACACAGTTCTCGTAAATTAAAATGAAAGGTACAGTGTAAAGTTTACAAATTCAGTCTGTAGTTGAACTGTTAGAATAATATTGTAGCCTTGATGGTCCAGGACTTGTGTGAAAGGCAAGGATTTCTTAAGGTAATGTCTTTTATTGCTCCCACTGTATAGTTGTCTAGCTCTATCCCAACTATGCAGTTGGTCCAACAAAAGATAACACCGTTAGAGATTCTTGCCTCTGAATTTGAAAACATTTAAAAAACTTTAAGAGTTAATTGGGAGATGTTAGAAGCTGAATTTAATAAGTTACTTGACTTGAGAGACTCAAGCATTCAGTTGTGTAGTTATCTCTCTTTCCTGTATTTTTGATACTGAAGAAAAGATTACTAGAGGAATACACTTGTGAGAGTTGCCTCATGAGTCTTTGTAGCTCTGTCCATTGTGTTTTGCATTCTGGCAAGATCTTGTTCAATTTATGCAGGTTGCTTTTCCTGTCTTCCAGAATTAAAGCCTATTTGCAAGATGTACACACAGTGCATTTTTGTCACTGTTTGTAGCCATAGTCCAGATAATGGAGTTTTCTGAAATGTAACAAGGTACCTCTTCAAAGTGTGCAGATTTAGCTATATGATTCCAGTTAATACCAGTAGGAGCCATGTGGCTAAATCCCCACCAACTGTTTTAAAAATTTTACCCTAAAGTGTTCTTGTGCAACAGAAGTAGAGGGGAAGGGATTTTAGCAGTGCATTTGATTTGTGAAGATGTCCATGAATGGTTTTCTTAAAAACATATCACTTTGCTTCATTTTAAAGGTATTATCTAATAGGAGTGTTTGTATATTCCTGATTCAAAGTTCTGATATATTTTTAGCAGCAAAAAGTCCTCCATGAATCAGTACTAAAGTTTACTGTTAGTGCCTTTAGCCTCTAAAAGTAGAGAAATTGATATCTGGAAAACTTCATATTTTTTAATGGAATAAAAAAAGGTAACATCATTCTTCAAGGGTGAATTTGCCTAGTGAAAAAGGGTGGTACCCATTTTGAGAGACCTCTGTAGTTGGTGAAATGTATATCTTTTGCATGTAATTCAGCATGTTTTAATAAACTATATTGTGCACTTGTAAGAAGCTAAAAGGGTAGATCTGCATCCAGAGACTTAGCATATACTTAGCACATCTATGGTAGCTTCAACATATTCTAACCAGTGACCAATTTATTGACCTTCTTGCTTTCTGGCCTAGCTTGTCTTGAGTATATAGCATTTTGTCTTGTGGGTCAGATATTTTTATTCAAAGTGGTATGTATCACTTAAATAGATAAACATTTAAACATTTATAAGTTTCATTCAGTATAGCACAGGGTTGTGTGACTCTGCTAAGGGATTTTCTTAAGATTAATATATTCCTATCCTGTGATTAGGCACTCAGTTTGTGTAAGACTTGATTACTCACACATGAGACCATTAAAAAAATTATTGTCATATACACCAAAGAACTGGTAACTCCTTTGCAGCAGTACTGAATACATTGTTTCTTTTCTTCATGCCAGGAAGAATGCCAGAACTATATCCGTGTACTTCTTGTTGGTGGTGATCGTCTCTTCACCTGTGGAACCAATGCTTTCACTCCTATTTGTACCAATCGTACGGTATGAGTCAATGATTTAATCCGCCGCTACTCAGAGAAAGGAGCATTATTGCCGTTTTGAAACCAAACATTTCCTAAAGGGGAGTTAGGTAGTTCTTTAGCTTGGTACTGATCTTTTCTGCATATAGAGAGCTAGTTCAAATGCAGCCCTAATGTTTTTTCTCAAGTAAGATAAAGTTTTGATCTGAACAGTAAACACATTTTCATATCACAGAACAAGGAGCACCTGAGTTGACATTAAGAAGTTTCTTGCTGGTTAAGAGAGATTCAGTCACCTTTCAAAGCTGAAATAGCTTCTTCAGGACATGGTCCCTTCTAATTGGGGATGTGGCATGTTGAATAATGTGAGGAAGTTTACATGGCTGCTACCTATGTATTGAAACACCACAGTATTTCACTCTGTAGGTTGTCATGCCAATGACATTTGGTGCAAGTACTAAATGTGAATGAACAAGGCATTAACAGAAAAAAGGATGCAAGACAGCTATAACATGCTGATCAAAAAGAGATTGATCAATTAAAAAACTAGACTTAACTAGACTAGGGCTTTGACTTAAAAACTAATCACCTTTTATTTGCTTTCTCAAATATATTTCAAACTTGTCAGAACAATGTCAAGTACATGAAGCATGCAGCATTTAATATGAGTAGTACAATAATTTTCCATGTTCATAGAAGATGAAAGGGCTAAGTGATTAGTTTTCATCAAGAAAGCATAGAGAAAACAAAGTGATTCACATGACTGTGAATTATACCAAACCTTTCCAAAGTCATCCTCTGGATGACTTCTGTTTTGGGAACAGAGAGACAGATCATAAGATACAGATATACAAATATCTATACACTGAGAGAAGATGCATATTAACTTGGATTCCATAGTTTACAGTAAAAACATGAAACTGCCTTCATTTTTTTAAAAAGTCACTTAATTGAACTTTTTAAAAATTATTTTTGTACTTCAAAGCATTATATAAACTAGTCATCCACAAGAAGGGAGCTAGCTGGAATGGTTCTCAAATGCATGCAGTTTAATAGTTTTTCTAAAATCCGCAACTGGAAGTAGTTGTGTACCTAAAAGGGAGATTTATGAAACCTGATGTATGGAATTTGGACATCCAATTAATGCATTTGTGTGCTAACAGAAATAGGGTTGTGTAGCCATGGGGGGGGGGCATAAATTTAGATAAGTATATGTATGACACTGATTTCTGGTAGTGTCAACAAGAAAACTTATGTTTTTTTGGAAAAGGTTGCCATCATTTCGCTGACAGCAGTCCCTTTCTGTAATGTATAGATTTAAAAGACATCAAAAAGAACGATATTGATCAAGGAGATAGCTTTCAGTTGGAGAGAGAAAGAGTGAGACTCAGTTAAGGATCAATAAAATTATAATAAAAATCAAAACATCCCTAGCAAGAACAGGGAGGTTTTTTGGGAGAAAGGACATGGGGGGGGCATTAAGCAAAACAATTATATACATATCTGTTCAGTGTCAAATCTCTGGGAAGCTTTTTGCTACTTAAATGTGATGCCCATCCATTTCCAGACACTGTATTAGCTGCACAATGGCAGTTTGTGGGTGAAAGTATTAAGGCTTACTGTGTCAAATGGGCAGTTCCACTAGGATTAAGAACTCATTTTTATTTTGAGCTTGTTATTTCTGTGCGATTCCTGGAAAACAACAACAAATCCAAAGGGTAGTTTTTATATGTTTGTTAAGTGCTATATAGGGCTGTGCGAAACAGCGCCATTTCATTTCGACTTCTGTTTTGCCATTTCAAATGGACAGTGTTTCATTTAATGGTTTTGTTTAGTTTCGAAGTACTGTTCCATTTTGTTTTGTGAAAACCATTCCAGTTTTGACCCATTTTGATGTTTTGCCCATAGGCTATAATGGGGAATCATGAAAATGCCTATAACTTTGTAATTTCTTGCTTGATTCAGATGAAAATTACAGGGCTGGTAGCCCCTTCTGAAGGCATGAAGATTACAGGGTGTCAAGGAGATAGGTGCAGGGGTTTCTGGGAGATTGCACCTCAAAATTATGACAAGCAAAACACGTCACTTGCCTGCAGCGGCAGTCTCCTGTCATCCTGCATGTAGATCTGGGAGCCCGCACCCATGGGAGGGAAGTGGGACTGTGCCGGTTTCCTCCTAGGGGTGCAAGCCCCTGGATCTGCACTTGGGATGACAGGAGGCTGCTGCTGCCGCCTGGGACTGGTGCTGGGCAGAGGCTGTGCCCAGCGCTGGGCAGACTTGTGCTGCTGCTGGCCCCAGACAGCAGCAGCAGCAGCCTCCCGTCATCCTGCTCATGGATATGGGGGCCCGTGCCCCCAGGAGGAGTGCAGCAGTGCTGGGAGGACAGGTTGAGCTCTGTCGGGCTGGCAGAGCCACTCAGAGACCAGCCCTGGCTCTCCCTCACCTCCTGCCATCGGGCTGCTTCGAAACTCCAAACGTTTTGAAACTTTTGAAACATTTCAAGTGCCCTCATTTCATTTCTAAGCCTTTTGTTTCATTTTGATTTCTCTGTTTCAAGCTCGAAATGTGTCGAGACAACTTTGAAATGAAACACTCATTGAAATTTTGCACAGCCCTAGTGAATATCTTAGCTGTGATAGCCAGATCTGTGATCTTTCATGATGAAAGACTGTGACCATGTTGGATGCAAAAGGGAAGCCAGCTGGGCGTTAGGATAATGCCTTTTGTTTGGGCCAGTCTCAGAAAAACAAACAGATTTGCTTATTGTCCACATTATAACAAGGGACCTGATTTGAGCTTTTTGTATATGTTTTTGCACAGGTTATGTGGTTTGATTCTTCTTGTAAATATTATGTAGTTTTAATTGTCTTTTCCCTCTTGTTTACAGTTAAGTAACTTAACAGAGATACATGATCAGATCAGTGGCATGGCTCGCTGTCCTTACAGTCCCCAACACAACTCCACAGCTCTTCTCACTTCCGGTGGGGAGTTATATGCTGCTACCGCCATGGATTTTCCAGGAAGGGACCCTGCCATCTATCGCAGTTTGGGGGCCCTTCCTCCTCTCCGCACCGCACAATACAACTCCAAGTGGCTGAATGGTGAGTGTTGGCAAGCTTCAGTACATTTGTGTACAGCAGGCCAGGTTTCCACTTCTCCACATTCTGTAAAGTCTGTGCTTGGGGCCTGAAGGCTTTTGAAATATTATCTTTGTTTTAAAATTATTCCTACGCCTCCCTTTTTTTGATCAGAGCTAAGTCCATACAAAATGCAGGTCAGTATACAAGGTCTTCATAAAGTCCTTGTGCACTTTTAAACTTTAATAACTTAGGTTGTAGGTATGGTAGAAACAATCTGTAAATGGCATTTAAAAGCAAATTTATTAAAGTTTCAGGACAACTAGAGTACACAATGCTAGACTTCATAAGTAATAACGATTTTATTCTTGAATAAGATGGAGCTCCGTGCCACTACTCTCTGAATGTACAACAGTTCCTAAATGATGTTTTCCCAGAGAAGTGGATAGGCGGAGGTGGACCAATTGCTTGGCCACCTCATTCACCTGACCTGTCATCGCTGGACTTCTTTTTATGGGGACATGTTAAAAGTGTAGTTTATTTGTCAAAACCACATTCTTTGGTGGAACTTAGTGCTAGGATCACCCGTGCATTTAGTGCAGTAACTCAAGAGCAACTGGGAAATGTTTTCAAGGAGTTGGAAGATCGGATTGAGCACTGTATCATGATGGATGGTGGCATTGTGTACTCTAGTTGTCCTAAAACTTTAATAAATTTGCTTTTAAGTGCTGTTTATAGATTGTTTCTATCATACTACAACCTAAGTTATTAAAATTTAAAAATGCACCAGGACTTTATGAAGACCCTGTATTATGATGCAGGGCATCTGATGCAGCACTCCGCACTGTCAAAGGGGATTCAACCCTTCTTCCCTTTGTGCCCATAAAGCTGTGTGTGTACAATTCTTGTTGCTTTCACTAGCATATATGGATGGTAGCATTTACATGAACAAGCATGTTTGCACATACAAGTGAGCATAGCTCCACTTCAGGAAAAGCTTATAGACATAGGTTCAAATCTATGTGTGTGAGAGAAGGCCTGTGAGCCTTAAGACCTATACACACAAGTAATATGAATGCAAATATAGTGATCACATTTTGAAATATAGGCCCTGTGAGACATTGCCAGCTAAGGCAGAAAGTATTCTTACTGTAAAAAGTTGACATTTTTCTTTCAACTGATTCCTATGACATAAAAATGAACAAAAGATATGCATAAAGTAATACCTTTTAAATGATGATCCTTTTTGCTCTATTTGTTCCTACTTTCCTTCCATCCTAACTTTCTTACCTATCGTAAGAGAGGAATTCTGGGTACTTACATTTCTCTAAGTTTATCCAAGCTACTTTAATCTAAAAATCTCACTACGTGTATCAGAACCAAGTGTGTGATTTACTTAACGTATCAAGTACAGAAAGTAGCAACATAATGTGCATGCTTTCTGTACAGAATTTATATGGCAATTACATAGTGAAAGTCCTTTGGGAATCCTATGCATTTCATAAGGCACATTTCATATAAGAATCACTTTCTGTGCTTTAGCCTGTATGATGCAGCCAGGCTGACCATTAACAACCCTAATATGGATATGTGGGAAACATCTCATTGCATTCAGTTAGTATGCGAAACCTTAATCCAGGATGACTGTTTGCAACAGTTACAAATATGAGCATGGATATGTGAATTGGAAAGAGTGAAGGATCTTTTCCAAAGGCCAGCTTGCATCACTGTAGTTCTGTGTAGGCATTTTAAATGGAAATGTAAATAGAACAGTGATTTGTAGAAATGTACACTTGAGCATAAAAGAGCGGTATATGTCTGTGATGGTAGGCTCAGAGATGAACTGTGCAGTGTCTCTCAGGTGTGTGCTTACACAGGACAGCTCAGCCTGCCAACAACAGTAGCTAGTCTTGAATGATCTGTTAAATTCCTTGAAAAGCAGAAACAAACAGTAAGCAATTTAGAATGGATTGAACTTTTTTGGCTGTCTGGAGGGCCCTGTCTTGACAGGCAAAAACCATGTGCTTTTTTGAACTTAACTAAGTAGGAGGTCAACACCTTTGAAGCTGTGTGTGGCCTAGGGAAAGTGGCTAGGTCAAAGTGCGGCCAGTTACAACAGCTAATACATTCTCTGTTAAGCAATGTTTCCTGTGCCACAAGTCATAATCAGCAGATAAGGACTTCCTGCTGGGAGAAATTATAAAATGGGGAGCTTCTACTAGGGCCCAGCAGGGCCACTTCTGAGTCCATTTATATGTAAAAGCCTTACAGATTTTTCTAAAACAATATCTGCAATTTAGTACATAATTTATCATTTTTCCTAGGGATTGTCCTTGCTAGGAAGATGCATTGTGTTATATCTTACGGTAAATAACACAACATATAAACATTGTGGTCCTGATCCTGAAATCAGGATTGCTTGCTTAACTTTATCCACCTGTGTATTCCTATGAGTTTGTTCCCTTGTGTAAAATTCAGAGCACGAATAAGACTTTATGGATACAGGAACTTAGAGTTACTAATAAGCAGAAGACATTTTATATTTGACAGTCCACTGAAGCCTAAGTTTTTTTTTATTGTCATAGGCATTAGTTGGATGTATTTTCTTAGCCTCAACAATGTCATATATTTGGATTTAAGCTGATTGCCAGGTCCTAGATTTTAACTTTAGAATAAATGTGAAATAAGAATTGTAATGAAATCTTGCTTGAAGCAGAACTTTATTTAACTGAATGGGGAGGGACGAGGACTTTTTGGAGTGTCATAATACTGGTTAGTTCACTTGTTCTTATTACTGTCTGCTTGCCCAAACATGGCTCTGCCACCTCTCAGCAAATAGCACTTACTTTTGCAACACTGGCCCATAGTGAAGCTTCTCACTTCCTATACTGAGAGGAAAATAGGTAGTACTAGAAGGTGCGAGGGTAAGTGAGTCATTTTTTTTCTAACTAGCATGGAGGTTTTCTGTCAAACATAGTCCTACAGTAGTAGTTGATAGGTAAGTGTGTGTTGCTGGTTCACATTTGTGGAGTGCAGTATACAGATGAAGTGCAGGTCTCTGTGGTATCTGATGGTTCAATCAGGAAGACTGACTTTCATCTTACATGGTAAAACTATTGCTCTAAGTACCCAGAGGCCCTGGTTCAAGCCTTTCCTAGATGAACTTGCCAATATTCTAGAATTTAGCAATGTTGTTGTATTTTTTTACTGCAAGATTCTTGAAAATGGCAGATCTTGTTTGGCTTAAAAACTAGTGGACTTTTTTCCTAGTAAATTCAACTATTTGGAAAGCTTTCAGTTAAGCAGAAAGCAATGGCCCACCTTTCATATTTGAGCAACATTCTGAGAAATCATTCATCTGCCTTATTTATATGCTGGGATACTCAGCATTCACTTTTTTCTGGAAAGATTCTTGAGAATGGAAATTTTATTTGGAGAATGTAGATTAATGACGAGTTATTTTGAGAAGATAGATTAATCAAGAGTTTAACTAGGCACATTGAGAATGGTGGTAAAACAGTCCCTTTACCACCAGGGACTGCTATGAAGAGTGCTAAAAGTGGGGAAAAGACAATAGAGCTCTCCCTGTCTTGAGGATGTGACTGTGACCAGGATACAATGAGATATCATTGTTTGGAATTCAAAATGTCAAGAAAGAAAATATTGTATACAGAGTTTCCATTTCAGCATGTGACTTTCCCTTCATTGTGGTCTAGGTACAGAGCTGTAGTTACTTTCAGCTACTTCTTTGTATAGGAAACTTTATGAATTTGTAAGTAACCCATCTAGACAGGCCTCCAAGAGCAACATTTCTGGCATGTGTTACAAAGCAGCATTCTTCACAGGCCCCCCAACTATGCGTTAAAGGAAGAAGATCTGTGGTGTTAATTGGAAGTCATATTTGGCATAATGACATGAAGCTCATAATAAAACCAGGTTGCATCAGCAGATGGATATTTAAGGCTCAGTGAGGCATGCTGTTTTAGCCTTCCCCACTAGAAAATAAAGTTGTTCACACACATGCTTCTTGGAGAGGCAGTAGAGAACTTGATGAAAGAACACAGGGCAGAATTCTATTTCACTCTTAAGAAGCATAAGTGATGCACTGTTTTTTGGTTAAAAGTCGCACAGGACCATTCCACCTTGCATCATTTAATGGCCTGAATTGTGCTAGGATGTCTAAATGCCTCACATGATAGAATTGTTCCTTTTGGACATGTTTAAAAGGAGGTGTCTAGATCCATTTAATTTTTGTTGTGATTGAACTTCACTGGGGAAGCATAGGGATGCTGCATAATCTCCTGAAACACTAGGCCAACACAAACAGCAAGCATTTGCCACTGAATCATGACAGTAGCACCTGAGAGCAGATCTAGGATTTGGCAAAGGCAGGTGCAGGAGCAGCCACCCATGCTGCAGCGGTGGCTGCACCCCTGCCGCCAACCTGCTTCCCCACAACCCAGTGGTGCAGACAGACAGACTTTTTAAAGTCCCCAAAGCATGTCAGAATCCCTCCGCCTTCCACTCCATAATCAAAGGCATGTCCCCTTCTCTCCCCTTTCCCTGCTCCCCCCACCACGCCTGCCACTGCTGTTTTCCCCATTGCTCCAAGGAAAGGTTTAAAGCTGCTCCTGCCCACTTCAGCCAGGCTCATTTTGGACTGGGCTCAGCAATGAGGGCAGCAGTGAAGATGGGTGAGGTGGTGGGTTCCCCCACCCTGCTTGGTCCCCTGGAAGCAAGTGCGGGGAGAGGGATCACCCACTGCACATTGCTACTGCATCTGTCACTGTTCCCAGCTGTGTCTAGCCTCTGTGCAACTTGGTTGTAGCAGGCAGGAGCAGCTTGGAAATATTCCCCGCCCTTGGGATAGTGGGGAAAGCAGCAGCCAACAGAAAGAGCAGAGGGGAAGGGGAGGGGCAAGGACTTGCCTTTGAACATGGAGGAGAAGGATGAGGGATTCTTACCTGCTTTGGGGATTTTAAAAAGGTTCCAGAGGCTCCTACAGGTCCAATTTGAAAGTGGTG